TTAATTACTAATTTATCAAAAATGCCTTTTGCATGTGATAGTAATTAATTTTTTGGGAACCCAAAAATAATAACTACGAAAATGCTTTTTGCATGCAACATTAATTATTAATTTATTAGGAAATATTATTTCGTAATTACTAATTTATCAAAAATGCCTTTTGCATATAATAGTTATTAATTTATTGGGAACCCAAAAATAATAACTACGAAAATGTCTTTGGTATTAACGTTAATTATTAATTTATTGGGAAACCAAAAAAAATAGTATTAATTCATAATTATTAATTTATCGAAAATGCCTTTTTCGTGTGATAGTAATTAATTTATCTGGAACCCAAAAATAATAACTACGAAAATGCTTTTTGCATGTAACATTAATTATTAATTTATTGGGAAACCAAAAAAATAGTATTAAACCGTAATTACTAATTTATGAAAAACACCTTTTGTATGTGATAATAATTAATTTATTGGGAACCCAAAAATAATAACTATGAAAATGCTGTTTGCATTTAACATTAATTGTTAATTTATTGGTAAACCAAAAAAATAGTGTTAATGTGTAATTATTATTATATAGTATACACAATAAATGGGGGAGGTGTGGGGGATCCAACGTTTTTTAAAAAAAAACAACAGTAGCCGCCTATAGGTTTGGGCGGCCGCCTAGGCAGCCACCTTAGCGCCTAGGCAGCCCATAGCCCCCAACGTCTAGGCGGCTACCTCCGCCTTCTTGATACACAATTTTTATACCCAAGACTTAAGGCGGAAGCGGCCACCTAGGTGGTGGGGGTTTGGACCACCTAGGTGGTGGGGGTTTGGACCACCTAGGTGGTGGGGTTTTGGGCCACCTTAGTGCTAAGGCGGGCGCCCAGACCCAAAGGTGGCTAGTATTTTTTTTTTAAAAGATGGATCCTTTACACTTCTCCCCATTTATTGTATATACTATATAATAATAATTACACATTAATATTATTTTTTTGGTTAATCAATAAATTAATAATTAATGTTACATGCAAAAAACATTTTCGTAGTTATTTTGGGGTTCCCAATAAATTAATTACTATCACATTGCAAAAGGCATTTTTGATAAATTAGTAATTACGAATTAATACTATTTTTTTGGTTTCCCAAGAAATTAATGTTACATGCAAAAAAAAATTTCGTAGTTATTTTGGGGTTCCCAATAAATTAATTACTATCACATGCAAAACGCATTTTTGATAAAATAGTAATTACGAATTAATACTATTTTTTTGGTTTTCCAAAAAATTAATAATTAATGTCATGCAAAAAGCATTTTCGTAGTTATTTTTGGGCTCCCAATATCCTATCACAGGCAACAAGCATTTTTGATAAATTAGTAATTGCAAATTAATATTAATTTTTTGGTTTCCCAATGAATTAATATTATACTCAAAAAGCATTTTTGTTGTTATTATTTTTGGGTTCCCAATAAATCAATTACTATCACACGCAAAAGGTATTTTCGATAAATTATGAATTAATATTATTTCTTTGGTTTTTTAATAAATTAATAATTAATGTTACATGCAAAAAGCATTTTCGTAGTTATTATTTTTGGGTTCCCAATAAATTAAATTACTATCACATGCAAAAGAAATTTTCGATAAATTAATAATTACAAATTAATGCCATTTTTTTTTTTGCTCAATAAATTAATGTTACATGTAAAAAACATTTTTGTAGTTATTAATTTTGGGTTACCAATGAATTAATTACTATTACATGCAAAAGGCACTTTTGATAAATTACAAATTAATACTATTTTTTTTATTTCCGAATAAATTAATAATTGATGTTACATGCAAAAAGCATATTCGTAATTGTTATTTTTGGGTTCTCAATAAATTAATTAATGTTACATGCAAAAAGTATTTTTAATAAATTAATAATTAATGCTATCTTTTTTATTATCAATAAATTAATTAATGTTAATTGCAAAAAGTATTTTTGATAAATTAATAATTACGAAATACTATCTTTTGGTTTATTAATAAATTAATAATTATTTTTACATGCAAATTATGATATTTTCAAGGTAATGCCTAGGCGCCCGCCTTTTACACTGCCTAGGTGAGCACCTAGCTTTTCTCGCCTAATATAGACCGCCTTGACCACACTTAGGTGTTTTATGAAAAATTCCGCCTAGGTGGCCGGGCGGCCGACTTTTCATTCATTGCACGGGATGTCATCATAAGCAGCTCCTTGAGAACCTTTGGACGTGTTTGTTTTGGTGGAACTTTTGGGTAGTGGGAGACCCAAGTTCCACCAAAAATCTCCCATGTTTGCAGCATCCCCGTTGAAGCCACAAGATAAATTTAATGTCAAATGGAGTGTGTTTTCGGAAGCCGCTCCCTGAATGCTAGACAATGGAAACACGCCCTTTAGATCGCAGTTTGAATGTTTGGTTTGATCTAGTGGTCCGAAGTGGGATGATAAATGAACATTTGTTAGCTGTATGCCCTTGGTCTGGTTTGACCAAGTCTAACTGGTCAAACCATGTCAATGATCATAGGGTTCTAATTTTGCTAGTGTGTAGGTAGCAACACTTTTATCCTGTGGCATGAGCCTAGTTGCCTGAGTGCTTTTGGGTTGAAGAAGTCGTGCTTCGTAAAACCTGTTTTTCTTTTTTTTTTTTTTTTTGGTAATTAACCTTTATTGAAAAACTGTGAAAGATAGTTTGAAAGGAGACCAAGCTTTCTGGATTATGCCACCCTCTTAAAGGTGAGCGTCATCTCATGTCACAAACATTTGCATTGGTTGTGAAATACACTTGGCGAAAAGATATACATCTAGACATAAGTCAAACATCTCCTCAAAGATCGTAGATCAGCGGCTCGGAGGTCGCACCTTCTTTGCATGGTTTCCATTGACATTGAAGCAAACACCCTCTACTATCATTGCTCTCTTTGCCCAATCAATACAAAGCCTAATATATCTGTGATAAAAGCCTGGGCATCTGAATAAGAGGAATCACAAGCACCAACTGGCCCTGAGTAGGACAATAACGAAAATTCTCCACAAGCTCTCAGAATGCGCCCCCACAAATCCCCCACGAGCTCTGAGAATGCACCCCCACCTACCCCCTATGGGCTCTGAGAGTGGTTCCCCACAAATCCTCTATCATCTCTTTGTGTTCCTTCTAATGACATTAAAGCAAATCTCCCTCTAGTATCATCGGTGTCTTTGCCTAACTAATACAAAGCTTGATGTCTGTGATAAAAGCCTGAGCATCTGCATAAGAGGAATCACAAATACCAAATGGCCCTGAGTAGAACAATCATGAAAATCCCCCACCAGCTCTGAGATTGCCTCCCCACAAGTCCCCTGTAAGTTCTGAGGATGTGCCCCCACTAATCCCCTATTACCGCTGAGAATGCCTCCCCACAAATCCTCAATCATCTCAGAGAGTGCCCCAAATATTTTGGAGAACCTAGATTTTATGAAATGGTTTAAGAAGGTTTGGTTTCTTTATGAGGTGGATGTTGGGGTTTCTAGAGTTTTTGCAAAAAACTACTCAATGGAATTCAAGTGGATGGGATATTGTTTTTTATTCGAAGTATTAAAGAGAATAACTAGGAAATTTGGTGGTGATCACTGTGTGGCATGGAGGTGGAAATGATATGTTGGAAGTGAAAGACTGAAGGATCTAGAGGAGCCAAGTGTAAGACCAAAGTATTTTAGGACATGTTGAGGTAGGAAGAAATTCATTTTGTCAAAATATATGATGGAAGGTGCTTTAAATAAGTGCGTACAAATACAAGGTTTTACGATGAGATCCTAGAGTGTGTAGATGGAATTATACTTGGTAGTTGAAGTTGGATTCTCTGAAAAGTTAAAAAAGGTTAAAAACAGTAAGGCAACTCTTTGGATATGTGGAATTTGTGACAGTTCCATTAAGAGTAGTTTGTGTGGATCAAATAAGTGAGTACTTTTTAATTAGTGTAAGGACTGCCACTTAACAGTAGTTTTTTTGTACAGTTGCAGGTCGTTTGGGTGCAGTCTGAGTTTCATGGACTGCAACACAAATGTTGACGTCCAACACAAGTCAAAAAGTAATACTTCAGTCATAAAAGCTGATATGATAGGGCATCTCTGTGCGCTTACATAAAATAAGACTTCTTAATATTATACAATAAAGTTTTCTTATTTTTTACATATGCATGTGCTTGGTGGAGTGGGAGCATGCGGAACACCAGAGTCTAGAGCTGTAGAGACATGTCAAAATATCGATACCATATGACAGGTGAAAGTGTAGGACAGTTGGGAAGTTGAGGGGTATCCCTTGCAAAGAACCCAAGGCTTTGATTTCCCTGCAAAAAAAGAGAAGGCTTTTGGATGTTGCGATAGTCACTGAGTTTGTATTCATGCTAATTTAGCTAAATAAATTCTGTCCCTTTGATGATTACTAATGCTATTTTTTTTTTTTTTTTGGGTGGTTCAGCAGTAATATTAGATATTCTGCCTCAAACTTATTAGATCGAGCACCAGTGATTTTGTATCCGGTCAAAATCTTGGCTAATGATCGAAGTGGGCAGCTTCAGTAGACCCATAGATCATGGAACAAATACGGGCCTCACTTGAGTTCAATGTGTTTGCGGTATAAGACCTTAGGAACTTCAGAAAAGCTGATTCGGATTGCTGTTTGGTCCAGTGCTGTGGGAGATTCCATTTTTTAAATTATGGTTTGGGTTATCTTAGTCACTGTTTCCTGTTTTGAGAGAAGTTTAGCAAATTTTTGTTACTTCAGTTTGGTTCCGATCATTTTTGTATTTGTGGATTCCCTAATAAAATGTGGCTGTCAAAATGACAAAAATTATTTTTATCTATAAAACGAAGTTACTATGGTTAAGTTGGATGTCTTTCAGTTTATTTTGATGGGTTCCTTTCTTTTCTGCGTCCTACGTTAGGTTGTTGGACACAATTTTTTTGGTGCTCTTTATATTTGCTTATTTCCATTTCTCGGTTTTGCAGATGTTCCATTTGCTCCAGACACCTCAGAACAGTTACTATGTGTTGAATGACATATTCCGGCTTAATTATGCGTGATTCATTCACAAATTTGGGATAGATTTTTGGGACTATTTGGTGAGTGGGGGCTGCATCTGTGTCTACCTCAAATGATTATTACTGTTTATTTCCTCTTTTGTGGTTTTGAATATTGGGTTTCTCTTGTTGCGATTTGGTTCCTATCAAACTATCTGGGAGTGGGATCAAGATGTCTGCTTTTTGTTTGTTCTTAATATGGGATGAACAATTAGATTTGGAAAGATGGTTTGGTGTCCATTGAAATTTCCTTCTATGGATTAGTGTCTTTGATTCTAGCTTCTTCCCCTTAGTGTTGGGGGACTATTTTTTATGAAATTTCTTTTGAGTGTCTTTCAAATTCAACATAAATTTAGATATTGGGTTATGGTCTCTCTTCTCATCTCTGAGTGCTCTTACCTGTGCAATGGGTCCTCAATTCCCTTCTTACATATTAGTTTGTTGAAGGTAAGGGAGTGGTAACTGGTGTGTGAGATATGAAATCGATCTTTTTTTATTAACTTACAAAAATTGATTCTTTTGATTGTATTTGTTTATTTTTTATATGACTGTTTGCAGCAAAATGCACCAACGTGCTTTTCTGAATTTGAAATTTAAACCAAATTGTACAGAAAATATTTCATTTGAAGGAAAATTGTGCTGTGATCCGGCGGACAAAAACTGTACCAATTGTCTCATGGGTAGAACACCTAATTAGGGAAATATGTTTGTTCCCCAAACTGTCAAATATTTTCCTTTTTAGATCAATTCTTAAAGAATGTTCAGGGTTGGATCTACGAAAAAAAATGTTCCAAATAAATCCGTGCTCTAAGAATCGACTTTCGACTGCCGCCACTTATTTGGTGGAGAATAAGATTTTAAGGGTTTTAAGAGGCAAGCATTAATCTTGAAAATAAGATTCGAGCGTTTTAAGATGTCAGAATTAATTTTGACCATTGGATGTGAAATTGGGCTGTTAAATTTTTTCTATTAGTTAGGCTCAAAGTTCAAAAGTTATTGTTTTTTAAAAATTGAGTACCCAAGCAGCCAAATTTTGGATCACCTCCTTATACCAAATGTAAATACTAACATTTGGATCACCTCTTTATACCAAACGTAAATACTAGCAAGGTATACGGTTCCATTTAAAAAAGGTTAAACTTCTTGTTGTCCCCACGAGACAAACTCCTTGATAGGGCAATTAATCTTGACAGCTAGATGTCCTCGTATGGCTGTGACATTTTAATGGTAGCGAAATGCACCGTCGTATTTATATTGTTGGCCATCTTTTACAGTATTGATTCGGGGACTACAGGAAACCTATCCCTCTTCTAAGATGTGACAATTAGATTGGGAGGTACCGTGGCCGCACCCTATCCCTCTTCTAAGATGTGACAATTAGATTGGGAGGTACCGTGGCCGCACCCTCTATCTTAGAAAGGTTGTGGTTTGTATGGAGCTGAGGCTCTAAACAATCAAAGTAAAGCGCACTTTCAAATAGTATCGAGAAATGTAGTTTCAATATTGGAAAATTTTATGATAATTTTAAAATATATTTTTATCTTTAATTATAAAATTTAAAGCCTCCAAAATAGTCCGAACAGATCTATGAAAATCTTGAAAATTAACGGTCCAAAAAACAACATTACAAAATCCATTATTTCCAAAACTTGAAATCTATGCATTTTGATGTCGAGATGATCAATTTGAGGATATTTGGCCATCAAAAACAACTGCTTCTAGTGAAATTTTTGAGACGGGCTTTAATTTGATTGAGGATATTTGGGCATCAAAACAACATTTTTTTCCTTTTAGAAATCGCTCACAAAACACCGGTTCACCCTGAACTTTTGAAGGGCACTAATGGGGTGTATTAGGTGTGATTAAGTAATCGGGTGGAGAAAAATGGACCATAGAGGTAATCCCTGAGAACCGTTTAAATCTGTTTGGATATGTTTCAATGTAAGTTGATTGTGTATTTGAATAAAGGATGGTGTAGCATCCACATATGGTGGACGCTTGAAGGGTGCACAAGCAATATAATATGGCATAATGTATAAAACGATAAAATATGTTTTGAACAAGAAAGTTAACTAAAATGCCTTAAAATTAAAATAAAGTAAAATACAAAACTTCTTTGTGTGCATGTTTCATCTGAGCCGTTGGAAGTGAGCTTGTGCACTATTGTAATATGCACATAATGTATATGGGAGACTTTTCCTTTGAATAAATAGATGAAGGGCAATGGATAATTAGCAAGTCTTTATTTTTGGATAATTTTGAAAGCACTTTTTGCTAAATGTGAATTTGGGTACATATCTATAGCATAGACCGGCATGGAAATTCATAAACATGTTCATGCAAATGAAAATTGAAGTTTATTTATTTTTTATTTTTACTTAGGGATAAGAAGAGATAAGTTTAGAAGGCCTAGTTGGGTGCGTGATGGAGTTCTGGTTTGGCAAATTGCCAGACGTGCGGTGGCGGGGAGATCCGAAAGGAAAAGGATAGGCGTACCTTTGATGGTGTCAGCCTATCAGATGATCGTTTGTTTAATAATGTCAAACGTACAATCTGGTAGTGGTTCTCAATCACCAAGGAGGGTTGGGGTGTATCCCACGCAGAAGTTATGCTCAATTTGCAAAACTTATTCCTACCTGGGAAAGTGAAGACGAGACCCAAATGCTTCTGGTCTCCTTCGGAACTTGGTCGATTTAAGCTTAATTTCAATGGAAGCTTGTTAGGCAACCTTGGGGCAGCTGGTATTGGCGGCGTTTTACGCAATGAGCAAGGAGTGGTCATTTTCTTCATTGGGGGTCCATTAGGCTCTACCACAGCTAACCATGCGGAACTTGCCTCCTTGCTGCAAGGGATAAGTTGTTTATCTCTAGCAACATTGGCAATAGTTGTATCTTTGAAGGGGGATTCTTTAAATGTTATTGGTTGGTGCAACAAGGAGTTACACATCCTGTGGAAATTGCAGTCAATCTGGCTGGAAATTTTGGACCACTCTGCCCTTGTCTGTTTCTTTCTCTCATGTTTTTTCGGCTAGAAATTTTTGACCTCTCTGCCCCCTGTCTGTTTCTTTCTCTCATGTTATGCTCTTGCGGATTCCCTCGCTAAGGGTGGTGCGTCTTTGCCTTCCCTTGTGGTCTCTAATGATGTAATCTCTTTCGTTTAGTATGATATAATAAAATTTGGAATGTTCGTCAAAAAAAAATAACATAGATAAATAAGGTAAAGATCTTTTGGTTTATGAAATAATAAGCAATCGTTATCTTTTACTCTAATGTGGAAGTTAGCTACAGAGAAAATACAGATGGAATTTGAGAGAGAGAAAAAGTGAGAGAAAATAGAGAGAGAAGAGAGAAAAATAGGGAGGGGAGGAAAAAACATGGAAGAGAGAGAAAAAGTTATTTTGGAGGGTTTTATTTATTGTGAGTTTTTTTATTTGTTTATTTTTTTCCTAAAAATCTATTTAAAGGGAAGAGGTCCTCATTGTAAAAAGATCAGAGAATGATTAGTGAGAGTTTAATGAAGTTAATATTGTGATAAGATTTTTTGGGATGGATTCTCTTGCATATCTAGTTTTTTGAGTGGATTCCTTGATAGATCAGGTGGATTCCTTTGGAGACCGTGAGAGGGGTATATTCTCTCGTTGAGGGAACGTATATTCTCTTGTTGGGGTGGATTCCCTTTCAGATCCTGAGAGAGGGTATATTCTCTCGTTGGATGGATTCTCTTTCAGACTCTAAGAGTGAGTATAATCTCTCATCCTTTGTTTAATTTTTATTATAATTATTTTTTCTCCTAGCATGTATTAGAGCTCTAAGATCCCTGATCTAGTTATGGACAACTTTGATCAAAGATTTGATAGAATAAAAAAAGACCTAGTAGAGAGTATTTGCAAAGTAGTAAAACAATGTCTATGCGAAATATTTCATAAATTGCAATTGGAGCGAGAGGAACAAGAATCTGAAGAGGTAGATCTCAATACAATAAACGTGCGGATAACCCAATGTGCAAGAAGAATATGAAGATGTAGATCTTGATACAAAAGGGGACGCCAATAACCCAGATGTTTAAGAAATTTCAATTATCAATGGTAAAAAAAATAAATAAATTTTGATAATCAATGACGAAGAAGAAAATATGTGTAATGCAATATTTGAAATCCAACCAAGTGAGTTTAAAGGAGAAATCAAGATTGAACTTGAGATCTATGTGTTCTACTTCTTCGAGATAAGTAGTGAAGCATTCGATGAATTGGCTTAATGAAGAAATTGAAAGAACGAGATCTCGAGATAAGCATGAAGCATTCCATGAACTGGCTTAATGAAGAAAGTGAAGGAAAAATACCGAGGCGCATGGTGATAGACTATATCATCAATTAGTAAATGGTGATTGATTAGCTTTGGCTTCAAGCTCAATGCAAATAAAAATTGAAGTTTATTTATTTTTTATTTTTAATTAGGGATAAGAAGAGAGAAGTTAAGAGCACCTAATTTGGAGCGTAATACCTTTTGGGAAGCTCTATCTTAGATAATAACATAGATAAGGTAAAATCTTTTGGTTTAGGAAATAATAAGTGGTAGTTATCTTTTATTCTAATGTGGAAGTTAGAAAGAGAGAAAATAGGGATGATGGTGAGAGAGAGAGCGAGAAAATAGAGAGATGAAGAGAGAGAAAATAAGGAGGGGAAGAAAAAATATGAAAGAGAGAGAAAGTTATTTTGGTGGGTTTTATTTATGGGCGCAGTGGGCATACGGATGCTATAGCGGTAAGGTGCACCTTCAAATTTTATCATGGTATATGATTTTGATGTAAATGTTCTTAGGATTATCTCAAGATCTATTTTTATATCTAATTATAAAATTTTAAATTTAAAAAATGGTTAAAATCAAGTAGATCTATAAACATATGAAAATCTTGAAAATGGACGATGTAGATAATATGTTGCAAAATGAACTATTTGTGAGACTTAAAATGTTTTTATTTTTCATGATCATACATCTCAATGTCAAGATGATCAATCAAAGGGTTTTTAAACATTAAAACTACTTTTTCCAATGGATTTTGTAGGTGCATCCGTAGTGGTACATTATAAGGTTGCATACTTATATACTTTTTTCCTTTATGTCTAGTGGGTTATTTATTTATTTATTTATTTCTCTAAAGTCTATTTAAATGAAAGAGGTCCATCATTCTAAAGAGATCAGATAATGATAAAATACGAGTGGAATAAAGTTAATATTGTGATAAAATCTTTTTGGGATAGATCCTTTGCCAATCTTGTTTTTGGGATGGATTCCCTTGCAGACTGGGTGGATTCCCACCCTAAGAGAGGGTATATTTTCTCATTGAGGGTATAATATGTAAATAGCAAAATTGTC